CATTCTAGCCAAGACCTTCAACTACATTCCTGGTCAGAGCAGTCGGTGCTGACATCTGGCTGTCCATCCTAATTCTTCCAGTGCTGGATCCATTTTACACTTGATAGGCATTTGTTGAACTTATCCGACCCACAATGTTTCAAACATGTGGGCAACTGATATAAACCCAACTGATAAATTCAACAGCTAAACATATAAACTTTGCATATGCATGCAAGTCTCTGTCAGAAGAGGGAACAGGCTAGAGCAGACCAGTCAAGTTCATACACACAAGAAGGGAGTCATCCATGATGCCCCACATTGTGACCCAGAGAACTAACTGCACAGCTGGACTTCAGAAATCTCAAGAAACTCGAGGAACTGCTTCACCATGTCTTTAATTTCTAAATTGTTACTTCTCAACAAATAATTTTTCAGTCAGACACTACTTTAAAGAAAAAAAAAGTTCTGCCAAACTGTCTCAAGATACCATCAATGTGATATAAATAATATTTGACCTGATTTACTGGCAAAAACGCCAATCTGGGCCCCCGGGCGTCATGGCGCCCAGCGTCCCACCTCACCCTGAGGCTGCGGCCAGGTGAACAAAACGAGGCTCAAACAGGTTCATGATTTTCATGATTGGCCTTGACATGATTCCCAGTCCCTCATTCAGTATATGTGGCACAAGCTTTTCTCCAATTTTTGGTCATCTTTGGCTTTCATACTCAAGAAAATGATATTGAAAAGCTACCTGAAGCTGTGTATGCACAAGAAGTAATTGAAATGACCATGGCTTGGATCAAGCACACCTCAGTCTTTGACAGCAGATTTTCCCAGTGCAACCCATCTTCTGATTTCCTGACTGCTGCTGCCACAGGTGTTGATTGTGGGTCCAAGTAAAATCAAATCATTGACAATTTTGATCTCTTCTCCATCTATCGATGATACTGCCCACTGATCCATCTAAAGTGTGTACACATCAATGATGAAATGTACTTTCTTATAGGAGTTATTTTTCAAATGACTTGTGTTCCAACAAGATAATTTCCTGGAGAATAAGCCTTATACCTTATTAATATTGGGTACGTCTTTGTAATAAATGCAGTGACAGTTTGGAGTGAAAAAAAAAAAAAACAACCAAAAACGCCAATCTGTCCTAGTTGAACAAAAGACAAGATTAACTTTCTAACAGGAAAATTTTTCCTTTTGTCCAAATGGCCACTCCTCTCCTCCCAAGTGTTTCTCAGAAGCTTAGGAAACTAGTTCTGAAAGCAAACTTTTCCTCTGTTCCAGAAAAAGGGAATGTGGGCCTCTTGACCTATAAAACTCAATATTTTGGAACATCCATAATTCTCCCAAGCCTCTGCCAGTCAAACAGAGCCTCCTTTCAACCAACCACCACCCAGCCAGGGCCAGAGAGCAAGGCTCTCGCTCCGAGGAGCTGACAAGGACAGGACCCAGAAAGTTCTCTGAGGAGGTGGAGGGAACCTTTACTTCAGCTTGCGTTACAAACTGTTGGAAAAGACAGATGGAGGGAATGGCAGGAAAAGCAATTATTTCTTCTGGGCTTCCTTTCTGTCTGGATTCTGAGGAGACAAAGACAAAATTCCATCACAGATTGAAATGCTATCTAAACATTCTTGAAAATGTGGTCTTGCTCTCTCAAAGCGACCTCTGCTACCTATGACCTATTAACCCATGAGGGTGGGGAAGGTGGCGTCCCCGCAGCAGGCTGCCTACCTCTAGACCTGGATCTCCAGGACACAAGTTTGTTGCCCACAGTTTGAAACAAATTATTATTTACATCTCCAAAACATGACCCAACAAAAACTTCTGATGAATCATTCCCTTTATTTTCATATCCTCAGGATGCTACATACCTGAAAACTCTCTTAAGTAGTTTAAGTTTTCTAGTGAGCTACGGGGCTGAATCACACTGAACAGCCGTGGTTTTATGTCAGTTTTAAATGAGGACTCTTCTGACACAAATCCAGTTTTAAGTCATTTTTTAAAAAACTCAAACACTGACCAAAATGATGTTCTTATACTAGTGGTAAGAAGTTGGGATGCCAATCCTAAAACAGAAAGTTCAAATTCACCAGCCTCTCCACAGGAGAAAGATCCTTCCATGCAGTTTACAGCCTCTGAAAAACCACTAGAGGGTCAGCTATGAGTCAATTCCAACTCAACAGCACACATCAACAATGACCAACATTTATTCGCAATGAATAAACAGTCTCACATAGACTGGTCAATACAGCTGAAGAAAAACTTATTGTATGTAAAATATAAGCACTGAGGACTCAACTATGAGAAAGACGGAGTTCTTGAAACACAGATTTTGCCTTCAAGGAGTTTATAAATGAGTCAAGAGGACAAGGAATGTTTACCCAAAAGTCAATGAAGACCACAAACACCAAATGAAAAGGACAAGCAAGGTCAGGAGAGCTTATGGTTAACAAGTGATCCTGAGTGCAGGGGTTACAAGTTTAACCAGAAGGTCATTGGTGTGAACCCATCAGCTGCTCCACCCCATAAAGGAACAATGAGGTGTCCTGCTTCTAGAAAGACTCCGGCTCGGGTAGCCCTATGGGCAGTCCTCTGTCCTGCAGGGTCACTAGGAGGGAGAGGCGGCTCCACGGTAGTGAGGGCGGCTTTGTTTTGCTGGGTGATCCCGGGATCAATGCTCTCATTGCACAACGAGAATAGTGTGCCAGATGAGCACCAAATCCCTTGTAATTCTAAAAATCTGACCTCTCTCATGTATCCAGATGAGACAAACAGAAAATTTCACAAAGTGACATTTCAGCTGGACCTTATATAGGTAAGAGTTTATTCCTACCCTCTTCTTTCACTTTTTTTTTTTTTAGTTCTCTTTTTGGTGGTGATATATTGAAAATCAAATACACACCAGCTTCAGTTTCTACATGGACACTTCAAGAACATCAGCTGAATAGTTGACAGCATGTCACCACTCGATGTCCACCTATGTTTTAATGTGAGTGTTTTAATTTAGGCTCTCCATCCCTTAAAGTTCTTTGAAAAAGTAAGGCTTTTAAATGTAGTTAATGGAAGAAAAACAGGGAAAACATTCCAGGCAAAAAAAGAACATACACACAGGTACAGCAAGCACAGGGTAGGCTTTAGAGCGCTGAGTCTTCCATGAGTGAAACACAGCAAGAGACAAAATGGAAAAGGCAGGTCAGTCAAAGCCTTGAATGCCAAGCAAAAAGAGCATGGATTTACTTTTCTAACCAGCAGCTCCTGAAGCATCTGAAGGGACAGATATACTGAGAAATACTTTTTAGCAGGTTAGAGGGCAGAATGAGGCCTGAATGTCCACAGGCTACCCTTGTCTTGCATTCTTTATCACCTCTGTTTACATGAATCTCATCTTCCAGAGGGAGCTCTGGTGGCCAGGTTGGTAAGGAGTTACACTGCAAACCCAGTGACAGGGAGCTGGAATCCACCAGCTGCTCTGTAGGAGAAAGATGAGAGTCTCCTCCCAAGTGACGTACAACCTCTGAAAACTGCTGGACAGTCCACTGCGAATCTGTTCTGACTCAAGAGCACATAACAACATCTACCAGAGATAGCATGGCTTCAAGAGAGACAGCTACTCAGACAAAAACAAAACAATAAGAAATAAGAGCCAAAGAAAGCACTAGGACACAAGGTCAGTTATAGAAAACCAAAACCAAATCTGCTGCCAATTCTGGCTCACGGCATGATACGGGACAGAGCAGAACTGCGCCATGGGGTTTCTGAGGCCGCACCTCCTAAGAAGCAGGGTGCCACCTCTTTTTCCTGCAGAGAGCAGCTGGTGAATCCAAATCTCCAAAACAGTGCTTGGCTTCTTTTTCACAGCAGAGGTCAGGTCTTTCTTCTGAGGTGCCTTCATATAGCCAACCACTGGGTTAGAACCTGAATGCAACAGCCAGTTGCAGTGGCCAGAACTTCCAATATGTCTGGAGATAAGTCATAATAATAACAAGAAGGTAGATCACTTACAGATAAGCCAACAGAGATGAATACTCAAGAAGTAAGAAAGAACATCATAAAATGTAGGCAAAAAAAAAAAGATATAAAACAGAAAGATAAAAGAGCGAGCCTGGGCACTGGTAAGCTCTAGCAGAGGAAATAGGAAACTTCTACATAGGGTTACACTCCCTCTCCCCAGAAATCTAGGCAGTATGATGAATATTCTCAGAAATCAGATCGTTCTATTTTTTAAATCTCCAAGACAGCAGATAACATAACTGAATGGTTGTAAGACGTGCACAACTCCTAACTCGATCAGTGCTGAAAAGGACGGGCCAGGCATTGTACGAGGTCGACTAGGAAAGGCACGCTCAGCATTTCTGTTATGATAGTGATTTCTGAAATAGGATGCCGAAACAAAGAGCAGAATCCAAATGAAAAGGAGAACGGCTAATAGGTAACATCTGGCTCCTCAGTCGCTGGAGAACACCCCGCCTCCTGGACTTCTTTTGTTCTTTATTCTCCTCCACTTCCCTCTTCAGCTAGAGCCAAACACTTTTGGAAATGAATTTACTGTTACCTGTGTTTGCCAGTAAAACCAGGCATGGAGATTTGTGACAGTGTCAGCTTAAAATCTTTTGTAGCAACAAGAATGAGAGCAAAGCCCCAACAACTAACTTGGTAAACAAAACCAATAACCTGGTGCACAAAATAAAGTAGGGTACAAGACGTGCCTGATATAAAGACACGGCCAGGGGCCCTTCAGCGCTCCTCACAGAGCCTCCTTCCATTGGCCGTGGGTGAGCTGCACTGTAATGTTTGCACCTGGCTAGGAGGCCTGAGAGGACTGGTGGCTGGTGTGGGCAGTGACATCTGCTGTTGGGGCCGCAGGCCATTCTGTGTCCTGCTGTGTATGGGACAGAGGGACAGGAAAGCGCTGTGCAGGAAGACAGTCAACATTCGGGTCCTTTGGTTGCTGGGGTCCTGAAGAAGGAAATGAGTTGCGTGTAATTCACACTGAAGAAGAGGTCACTTACTTGCCTTCCATCCTGGCCCACGTTTGTCTGACCTCTCACAACAGTTCGAATGTTGTCATCCAATCTCCTAGCAGAAGTAAAGGATACAAATCATTACAATAACTGCAAATCTGTGTAGATAAAAAAGGAGTCAGCAATTTATCCATCAACTTCTAGGGATTAGATCTACAAAAAAACACCACCACCTCAAAAAAACTCCAAAGCCATCATGCTTGAGCCCATTCTCATTCACAGTGGAAACCCTGTGTCTTGTAGGGTAGATTACTTTGTTACTCCCTGGGCTGTATCAACCGTAATCTTTTAAAGAAGCAGATACCCAGGCCTCTCTTCCTTGATGCTATTGAGTGGATTCAGATTATCAACTTTGAAATTAATATTAGTCAAGAACAAAAGCATTTGTACCACCCAGGGGCCCCCAGATAGTATCTTTTTGCCCAATAAACCAAACAAACATGAATGATAAAAGGAAGAACAGAGCCTGGACCTCAAGGGGGAAACAGCAGTAGTACAGAGAGGCCAGACCTAGTTCGGACTGATGTCTTCGTTGTGTATTTTTGGGGTTTTTGTTTTGTTTATAAAAAGACTATTTCCTTTTATTATTCAGTATTGTCTAAAAGGACCAATAAAAATTTTAGTTTTTTTCATGGAGTAAATCAGAAATGACAAAGTTGGTGAAATTTTACTGGAAGAAGTCAGAGAACAGGTTCAAATGACTCCACACAAAAATGTTCCTTCCTCAGTAACTTCCTTGGAAACTGTAAAAGGTGCAAAGAATTAAGAGTGCAACATAAAATCAGTGCTTCTCCTCCGGGCCTGGTCTTGTGACCTGTGCATGTGATGGATCGGTGGCCTCCTGTACTGCTGTCCCTCAAGGGAGCTCTGATGGTGTAGTCAGTAAGAAGCTTCTAACACCCTGCAGCTCAAACAGGGATCAATTACCAGAAAAATTCCTATCAGTGACTTTTACTTTTCATTTTAATAATTAAGTTTCTAAGCCCCTGCAGCTCAAACAGGGGTCAATTAATGGTGATGCAACCAGAAAAATTCCTATCAGTGACTTTTACTTTTCACTTTAATAATTCATTAATAGAAAGGTGAGGAGAGAGCTTTAAATAATGGGCTCAGATGTGCTTTTTAGATTATCAGGGTATTTCCAAGGAGGCCTACTGATGTAGTGTGTTACATGATGGGCAGCTAACCAAAAGGTCAACAGTTCAAATTGACTAGTTGCTCTGCAGGGACAGATAAGGCAGTTTCCTCCCACAAAGATCTCACTCACTCACTCACTCACTCAGTGAGGTCAAGCTAGAACCTTCTCACAGCTGATCCTCCAGAAAGTTTCCAGGACCGTGGATCACACAGGAGGAGGCTGCCCATCTTTCTCCTGCAGAGCCACCGGTAGATTCAAACTGAGAGGCCTTTTGGGTCAGCAGCTTCCTGTGCTCCAAGCTACCAGAGCTCCCTCCTATAGATTTACAGCCTTAGAAACACCACGGAGGGCACCATGGGTTAAAACAGGTCTCGGTGGCTATTGGTTTGTTTTTTGTTTACTTTGCTTTAGAGTGTTTCCATTTTCTGTAAAACCCTTGGACAATTTAGTGGGAGATGCTTCAATTTTCACAGTTCAAGTCCAAAAAACATTAAGAGGTATCTTTGTATTTCCTAAGGCGCCCATCTAAGCACTGTATTCATGGGTGAAGTCTTCACTTTTAAAAAAAACAAAAAAAAAAAAAACCAACCAACCAAAGGTTGTATACCAGTCGTTCACTGATGCACTGCCCACAGTATTAAAAAGGTGGAATCAATCTAAATGCCCACCAATAGGTAAGTGGACATGTAAAATGTGGTATTTTTATGGCAGTGAAACTAGATTGTATGAAACTGCAATGGCAGACACATGATACTACCCTTTTTTTTGTTTGTTTTTTTTAAAAGACAATTTATTTATTTATTCTTTTTATGTGTGTACCGTCAAATTGGATCTGACTGGTACAGGAGGCGATTGTTCCTCCTTCTTCAGCAGAGCATCTGGTGGATTTGAACCGTGCACCTCTGGGATTGCAGTGCACTTTCCTGCCACTAGGCCACCAGAGCTCACCTGATACTACCCGTTTGTTAAAACCCACAGGGCTACAAAGACAAAGAGTAAAACCTAAATGTAAACTATGGACCTTAGTCAATAACAATGTATCAATTCATTATATCAACTGGTTCACTGTATTCAAATTGTATTTGTTCTATCAACTGGTTCATTAATTTTAACATGTACAACACATTAACTATAAGATGTTACTAACAAAAATGGGCAGTCTCTGTGAAAAATTTACAGCCATGGAAATGCAATGGCAGTGGGTATTATTTTGAAGAATTCTTTCTGTAAATTTATTCTTTTTTTATTATTTTTTTTTTTAATTTTTATTATTTTTTGTGCATGTACCGTCAAATCAGATCTGACTGGTACAGGAGGAAATTGTCCCTCCTTCTCTGGCAGAGCATCTGGTGGATTCAAACCATGTACCTTTGGGATTACAGTACAGCTTCTTGCCACTAGGCCACCAGAGCTCCCCAAATTTATTCTTTTTAAGTGTAGTCTATACACCCAATGGAATAGCATTCAGCCATAAAGAGAATTGTTGTCCTGTTACATGCTACAACACAGATGAACCCTGAAAACATGCAGAGTGAAATAAGTCATGCACTAAAGGACAGATAATGTAGGAGTTCAATGTACGAGAAAGGCAATACATAGAGATCAAAGATTACTAGTGATTATCAGAGGAGGGAGGTAAGAGAAAGGGGTTAAGTTTTTGCTTAGGAAACACTTTCTGGTAATGCTGAAGGAATAATTTAACTGTACATAGTGCTGAAGAGCAACGATGTTCGTCTAGAGACAAAGGTGCACCTAATCCAGGCCATGGTCTTCTCAATTACTTGATATGCTTAAGAGAGTTGGACAATGACTAAGGATGACAGAAGAAGAGATGCCTTTAAGATGTGGTCCTGGAGAAGGGTCTTATACATACCATGGACAGCAAGAAAACAAACAGGACTGTCTTGGAGAGGGTTAAACCAAGTCCTTCCTTGGAGGCTAGGATTTTGAAGCTCCGCCTCACTTATTTTGGGCACATGAGCAGAAGAGACTGGTCCTTAGAGAAAGACATCACGCTCAGAAGGGTGGGGAGTCAGCGGAGGAGGGGAAGACTCCGGACGACATGGATTGATAAAGTAACTGGGGCAATGGGGTTGGTGTGTCAGAATTAGTGAGACTGGCTCAGGACAGGGAAGGGTTCAGAGCTGCTGTACATATGGTCACTATACATCACAGGTGACTCCACAGCACATAACAACATACTATGATAGGTTTGGAAGCAGGAGTGGCATCCACTTCCTAAACAAAATACCTCCAGAAACTCTATGAACTTTGATAAATGTCAATAATTGTAGGGGTGTTTCAGGCCTTTTTGTTCATAGGGTCACTATTAGTCACGTGCGACTTGAAAGCAATCAACAACAACAGTAATATGTACTGGGAAGAGTTATATAGTACAATAAAATCAACAATGTTGCTGAATTAAGCAATTAGAAAGAGTTAACAAATGTTTGGGTTTTTCTGCATTTATTTATAGATAACAAAGTTTATCTATCATATGTAATCATAAATAAATAGAAAAAAATGGCAAATGTTTTGATATTGAGATAGATATAGACAGGCAGGTATCACAATAAAGCACTTGGTGAAAAAAGTTGCACGGGGACGGGGGGGGAATCATCATCTCCTAGTTCTAAAATCAATGCATCATCTTTAAAAATCTCATTTTTAAAAAATCCTTATATTTAAAGACATCAACCCAATAATACAATACAAATATTGAGCATCTGTTATATGTCAAAACTGGAAATCTAAATTTACATAAATCAAACCAAGACTACTGGACAAGGCAGCCAATGCACTCCTGATGACCATACTAGACAAAATCATCACTGAATGATCACTAGACTTATGTCTAGGTCACTACTCAGCTCAATTGAGCTCTAGTGGCTAGTGGTAAAGAGCTGCACTGTCAATGCAAAGGCACACTGTTCAAATCCACCACCTACTCTGTAGGACAAAGGTGGGCTATCAATTCTCATGAGGTTTATTGCCCCTGGAAACCCACTGGAGGGTCAGTTATGAGTCAGTTCTGACTTGCAGGCACGTAACAACTCAGGTCAAACAGCAAATTCAGCCTCATGTGCATGTGGCCAAAAAGTATACATAGTAAGTTCATTTTTACATCCAAGTCTTTAAGAATACAAAAAAGGTAAATTCACTAGGGAAATAAGGCCATTAAGAACAGAATAGAATGCTTTTGTCATCTTTCATAATATACTGTTTTGGATGACCTCTCCAACTGCTTCCTTCCTTTTGTATGAATAACTGAACACTGACCAAAAATCAAGTCCCTGGCCACAATATTCAAACAGAGACCCAGAACAAAGATTACCATCTTTTTCCAAATTACCATATATAGCAAACTTGATTTGAGTGTCCTCACAGACAAATCCAACTGAATGTGATGCGATAAACAACATATTTTTCATTAACTATTAAAAGCCAGATGAGGTTACTTACCTTATTCTCAGTCTAATTTTGTTCACGACTTCATCTATATTTGCCAGAGACTGCAATACAGAAGGAAGAGGGTCCAGCTGTTATTTCACTTCCTGGGAATTCCCTTTTCACAAGGAAATGATGAGCTGCAATGACTTGCTCTCTTTCTATCTCTCTCTGTGAAAACTCAAAAAATGTAATCATACCATATGATACCACTTTTACCTTTTTCACTATTTTTCTTAACACGCAGCAGGCTGGCAGCTTGTACCAAATTCAGACCAGCATCTGCTCTTGTAAATAATGTTTTACTGGAACATAATCATGCCCACTCACTTACACAGGGCCACTGACCATTTCTGCTCTGTCTGCAATGTCCGCCCTGGGTGGGCGTGATGGAGACCATGTGGTCCACAAAGTCTACAATATTTACCCTCAGCCCTTTGCCAAAACGTCTGCTGAGCCCTGGTGTGTAGGGCTGTGCCATGGCCACACAGTAGGATGAACTACTGCAACACACAACAACATGCATAAATCCTGCTGGCCAAGAAAAGCCAGACACATGAGGATATTCCTTCTGAGTCCATTTATATAGTTCAAAACCATGTAAATCTGTTCTCTGGTACTGGAAACCAGGACAGTGGTTATTTTAGGGGGAAGTAATGGCTGTAAAGAAAAAGAGACCTTCTGAGGTTTTTATTTTCCACATTTTTATTTCTTCATCTAGGTGGTAGCTAGATGCTCGCATTTATTTTCTAAAAAGCCATCAAACTGTACACTTAAGATCCGTGTGCCGCACTCTAGCTGTGTTGATGTTTATTGTCAGATGCCGTCAAGCTGACTACAAATCATAGGAAACCCCATGAACAACTAACTGATCTGAACCTGGCCCCCTCCTGTGCCATCCTCACCACCTCTGCCCTGTCCACTCTTGCAGTCAGTATGTCGATCCATCTTATTAAGGGCCTTCCTTGCTTTCTCTGACACTTTGCTTTTCCAGCATGATGGGGTTTTTCCCCTCTCAATAAATTATTACATTTCAGTACATAAGTTCATTAGGAAAACTATTGGAAGGACATAAATACTAACAGTTATAACTCTTATTAGTAATGACATCTGTAAAATGTATACTAACAGCTATAATCCATGCAAAGGAGTTTTAATATTTCTTTTGCTTATGAGTGCCTACTAACCTACAGATATTGACTATGCTTTGCTATTGAAATTATAACAAAGTTATCTGTCTTTAAGACAACGATAAGACTATTTTTTAAGACTTGGACTAAATGTGAGGAAATGGTGCCCCCTAATGGAGAAGAGATGCAGGTGACACAACCTCACTTGCTGAAACTGAGGAGGACCTAAGGCATTTGTTGAAGGACTGCAGTCTCCAATATGGATTGAATCTAAACATCACAAAAACAAAGATTCTCACCACTGGGCCAACTGGCAGCATAAAAGATGGAGAAGAGATTGAGATTGTGAACTATTTCAGCTTGCTTGGTTCCACAATCAATTCTTACGGCACGAGCAGTCAGGAAATCAAAAGATGAATTGCACTGGGAAAATCTGCTGTCAGAGACCGCTCCAGAGTATTGAAGAGCAATGACATCAGTCTAGGGACTAAGATGCACCTGATCCAAGCCACGGTCTTCACAATTACTTGCTATTCATTGAGAGCTGGACAATGACTAAGGACGACAGGAAAAGAATTGATGCCTTTGAGTTGTGGTGCTGGAGAAGGGTCTTGAATATACCATGGAATACCAAGAGAACAAACAGGTCTATCCTGGAGCGGGTGAAACTAAGCTCCTCCTTGGGGGTAAAGATTTTTAAACTTTGTCTCACATACTTAGAACATACTGCCAGGAGGGACCAGTCTTTGGAGAAGGACATCATGATTAGAAGGGTGGAGGGACAGCAAAGGAGAGAAAGACCCAGATGAGATGGGGTAACGAGGGAAGGTGTGTCAGAGACAGTGCGATTGACTCAGGATAGGGCAGGGTTCAGAGCTGTTGTACACAGGGTCGCTATGAATTGCAAGTGACTCAAAGGAGATAACAAAAACAATGGAGAAGAGAAGATACCATTTTATATATTTATTCAAGTTTCAAAATACACTTTCATGAATCAATCCTCTTTCTCTCTCAACAGAAAGAAGTGGGAATGATGCAGAATCATGGTTTTGAATTATTACCAGCAACCTCAACCAGTCTGGTAGGAGAAACAGGTCACAAGTGTTGAGATGTCAGATTTTACAGTTCACACCTCTTCCGAACAAGTCAATGTTACTCAGAATTTTCAGACAGAAATCCAAGAACAGACTTAGAAAAGAGTTAGTGGAATCTCAGGAAAATGAAGTTATTTTAATTGAAGAATCCAGTGTCACACCATCATGTGAGCAGTTGATCTTGTCAGAGGATCTTGATTTTTACCCAACTCTGCCACTAACAAGGAGCCCTGGTAGCATACTGGGTAATGTACTGAGCTGTTAACCGAAAGGTGAGCAGTTTGAATCTACCAGCTACTCTCAGGACAAAGATGGGCAGTCTGCAGTCTCCTCTCACAAAAATTGACAATCTTAGAGATCTGATAAAGAGTTGACGTAAGTTGGAATCAAGTGCTGTGAGTTTAGGGTCTGGCTGCCATTATTCACTAGGGAAACCTGCTCTTCTTCCTTACTCCCAATGTAGGGTAAAGGTATCAACAAACCCAGCCAGTCTGCTAGGCTAGAAATCAAATTCCAAAATCTTTAACTTGACACAGATGACTCAGCTTAAATGCCATTTACTCAGGGAAGTCTTTTTGGATCTCTCAGATTAAACATAGAGTCCTGTGTGTTACGTCAACTCAGCACTTATGCTTCTTGGAAATGCTATTAGATTTAAGCTGATTTTATCTTCTGTGTCTCTCATCATTCTCAGCATAAAATAAGAATGAATTTTTTTTTTTGGGTGGGGTGGTAAAGTGGTATGGTTGTTAAGCACTTACAGCAGTGCATGATATAGAAAGGAGGCACACATTTTAAGTATTAGTATAGTTGCGCCTGATCCAGGCCATACTCTTCACAATTACTTGCTATATGTCAGAAAGATGAACAATGACTTGTTATATGTCAGAAAGATGAACAATGACTAGGGATGATAGAAAGAGAATTGATGCCTTTGGGCTGTGGTGCTGGAGAAGTGTATTAAATATAAAATACAAACTGGTTCATCCTGAGAGGGTGAAATCAGACTGCTCCTCAGAGGCAAAGATTCTGAGGTTTCATCTGACATACTTTGGACATGTTGCAAGGTGCGACCAGTCCTTGGAGAGGGACGTCATGCTAGGAAGGATGGAAGGAGAATGCAAAAGAGGAAGACCCTCAATGAGATGGACTGACTCAGTGACTGCGGTGATGTGGGTAGGTATGTCAGAGACACTAAGGTTGGCACAGGATGGAGCAGGTTTCAGGGCTACTGAACATAGGGTTACTATGGGTCACAAGTCACTTTGACAGCACATAACAACAACAAGACAATAGTTGTAGAAATTAGGACTTCTCTGAGAAATGACAACAGTTATATAAAGGCTACACACACACACACACACACACACACACACACACACACACACACACACACACTGTATTTAAAAGCTGGTTGGGCCTGAGGGCCTAGTGTTATTTTATTTTGGAGGAACATTCTTCTAAGTTGTACAGCACTCTTCTGTCAATTTTCTGTACTGAGGTAATGTGGGTTTGCTATTATCCTGAACCTTGTGCTATTGGGGGGGTCAAAATGCCATAACGGCTGTCCATGATGGACAGTTTGGTGGAGCTCCCAGTTTAAGACAGGTTTGAACGCAGGTGTGGCATCCACTTCCTAAATCACATGCTTCTGGAAACTCTATGAACTTGGAGAAAAGGTGATAATTATAGAAAGGCTTCAGGCCTTTTGTTCATAGGGTCACTATGAATTGTGCTCAAATCAACAGCAATCAACTACAACTGAGGATAAGCAGAAACACGTAGCAATACACATAAATAAGTCTTTTTAACTTGTTGCTGTTGTTGAAAATGCACACAGCAAAATATACACTAATTCAAGAAGTTCTACGTATGTATGATTAAATTCTTTAAGTTGTACAACCATTCTCACCCTCCTTTTCTGAGCTTTTAACCTTTTGAATGACTGTTTTTGTTTGTTTTTTTTAATGACTGTTGTCAATTTGCTGTCTTACAGATCCTTCCTTAAAATACTACCATGCTCAAGGCAGACTTCTTTACTAATTAAGCTAAACTATTGTTTGGTTTGAAACTATTGGTGGCTCGAATTTGCCATTTCCTCTGCAGGAAAAAGATGGGAAATCTCTTCCCATGCAATTTGTAGCCTCTGAAAACTGGCTGATGATCAGCGATGAGTCAGTTCCAACTCCACAGCACATACCAACAACAATATTGTTTGGTTTAAAGATTTACAGAGGATATTTTTCATTTAAGGGCAACAGTTATAGGAGCTCATCCAATCTCCCTCCATTATCTGTGAAATCTGGTCTATGATAATTTTAATTTATTCTACATTTTCCCTGCCTCTTGATCCAAGAATCTACTGAAAATTCTCTGATCAAAATGGTCAGTAAATGGTAGCCAGGTATCACCCAGTGCTTTTGGTCTCAGGGGAAGGGAAACAGCAGTTCAATAGTCACATAAACATTTTCTCCTCCAACTCCTGAGTTCCCTTCCTCTGTTGATCCAGGATAGAGACCAGTCATACCTTGGACACTCACTTGCAAGCTCAAGTCTTTGCAACTTTATAATAATTTACTTATATTTTAATTAAATAAGTACTAAGTATAATATAGACTGTAAGCTCTATCCTAGGGAGACCCAAGTCTTGCTCAATACTCCACCCTTCAATTTCTCATAGAGACACACAGAGAGTTAAGTGTTTTTGTGACAAGCAAATCAAAAACTAAATTTTAGATTCTACTGTTTCTTCACCCTTTGGGCACCAAATTCTGTGACTTCTAACCCCTCCACAGCTGTCAGATCTTGTTCTTTACACTCTGTAGTCTTCACCCAACTTCCCATCATCATCTCAATCACCCCTAAACTGGTCTAGGCTTCCAGCTTTGTGTGCCTTTCTTTATTCTCCACGCTGATGCCAGATGGAATTTTTAAATGTGAATCGGATCAAGTCATTTCTCTGTAAAAAACCGTTCTTCAACAGGCACTGTCTAGATTAGCAGAGTCATTGTTATTGTATGTATTGTGTGCTGTCACAACAGAATCTATCCATGACTGACTCTCCAACAGGTTTTCAGAGGCAGGAAATGGCATGGAAGAAGACTACCCATCCTTCTCCCTCAGAGCAGCTGGTAGATTCAAAAGTGTGCCTTTGGGACTACAGCACAGCTTCTCACCGCTAGGCCACCTGAGCTCCCTGATTAGCAGAGAAGGATGTGCTTATCCCCACGCAATTTGCAATATTATTCATTGGGGTAGCAGAAATATCTACTTATACTCTTTATTTACATAGTAAATACTATAAAGTTTAGTTACATTAGTACTGAAATATATACATTTTATATAGCCTTCACTCTCAAAAATATTATTTGGTTAAAAAAAATCTGTACAGACAAATCAACTGAGAAAACAGAACATAAAGTCTGACTGTGTACATCTTAAAAAGGGATCATATAAAAGTCCAAAGGGGGAGGGGCAGGGAAGGAAGGTTGAGGGTAAAGAAGGGGAAAATCACCAGGGGTGAAGGAATTAGCAAAGATCCATTGGGGACCTCAAAAGAGAGGGTAATGGTAGGCATAGATCCATGGTGATGAATTTTACAAAACACAATGTATTATGACTGTATGAAACACAATGTGAATAGAGGAAAGAGTGAAACAATATATATGAATTTTGTGCACAAACAAATTTAAAAACTTTTTAAAAAGATTATCGGGGGGGGGGAAGTGGGTCAAATTAAGTGGCTTTATGACTACCCAGCCCACCTTCAATTTCCCCTTTACATTTAAAAAATTTTCTGCTTCTTAATTTACTATGGAAAATTTGTGATAGACTCTCTAAACTTCAAGATACAATTCCTAATAATATGTTCACTATAAAAATAATTGTATTACAGCAATTTAATTAACCCTACAGTTTAGTTACAATGACAACAGTTTGAATCTTACATGTTTGTCAAAGTTCCTTAAGAGTATAATATGTATAGTAATAAGTAGAATATAATATGTCAATCATAACACTCGGGATGCGTCAGAAGTCCCTAGAAGCAGGATATGAAGACTCTAGACTTACTTGCTCAGTTGGGAACAAGGTATTGATGTATTCCACAGCATTGAAGTCTGCTCGATCCAGAGGATCCTGGCTTGGAAATACCTATACAGAAAGAGGGGATTACAAAGAACTCTCATCTTCCTGCCTTTTATTATGCATTGTTTCCTCCCACTGATTGAAGAGGAGAAAAATATTTTTTTCCATTTTATAATGCTTTACATATAACAAATGCTCAATGAAATAGCTATTAAAGTAAATCTTCAGTTTTTTGTTTTTTTAAATCTTCAGTTTTTAACATCTATACTTTTAACTTACAGCAACCCTATGAACAAGTGATCTGAACCCTGTCCTATCCTGTGCTATCCTCATCATTGCTGATACATTTGAGCCCACTGCCACAGATACTGTATTATTCCATCTTGCTGAGTCATTCTCTCTTTCATTGACCCTCTACCTTTTCAAGCATGATGTCTCTTTCAAAGGGAAGAGCCTCTCCTAACAATATGCCCAAAGTATGTGAGATGAAGCTTCACCATCCTTGCCTCCAAGGAACACTCTGGTTGCACTGACATATTTATTTGTTCTTTTGGCAGTCCATGGGACACCACAACTCAAAAGGCATCAATTCTACTGTCACCCTTATTTACCACTCAGCTCTCAGATGCATAAGTGATCAGAAAAACAATGGCTTGCATCAGATGCACTGTGTCTTTAAACTGACATCATTGCTGACTTTGGAGACAGGGTTGTCCTGTGTCATGATATTTGTATATATGACTGTTTCTACAGTTTGCTGTTAAAAGGTGTAACACTTAAGGTCAGTTTGCTGAACTGGGGGAGGGATTTGCATGCTGCTACTTATTTTACAGCTAAGGTGCAGATATGCTTGTTTGTTTAGTGTTTGCTCTTATGTAACAACACTTGTTTGTCAGTTTGCTGTACAGGGGTAATTTGTGGGTTGCTTTAATGCTAGAAGCTCTACCACTAGTATTTCAAATGCCATCAGGGTCACCCACAGTGGACAGGTTTCAGCAGAGCTCCCTGATTAAGATAGACTTAGAAAGAAGGATTGGCCATCCACTTCTGAAATAAAAGGTCTTCAAAAACCCTAAGAACAATAGAGGAACTCAAATACCTATAGCATTAGTGGTAAAGCCCAGATGAGAAGTCATTCAAAAATGAGGAGAGACAGCTGAAAACATCCACTAATAACTGGGATGTAGAATGTACAAAGCCGGACTAAAAGAAAACTGGAAGTTGTCAAAAATGAAATGGAACTCATAAAGATAGCCAGGCATTTCATTCTAAGTATTTGTGAGCTGAAATTGGCTACTTTGAATCAGACAATTATATGATGTATTATGCCAGGAATGAAATGTTAAAGAGGACATATTAATAGTGCTGCATTCACAGTTTAAAAAAAAAAGAACTTTGCAAGATTTATCATGAAGTACAATGCTGCAGTATATCCATATGTGTACAAGGAAGATCTGTTAATAAAAGTGTTATTCAAATATATGCATCAACAGCTAAAGCCAAGCTGAGGAAATTGAGGAATTCTACCAACTTTTGCAGTCTGGAATTGACCAAACATGCAGTCAAGATGTATTAATGTAATAATTGGTGACTGGAATGTAAAAGTTGGAAACGAAGAAGGTATAATAATTAGAAATTTTCAACTTGGAGACAGAAATGAGGATGGAGATCGAATGATTGAATTTTATGTATTCTTTTTATTTATTCATCACAAATATCTTATATAAGAAACACAGGTGGTGACTATACATATGGACTTCACCTGATGGCCTGCATAGGAATCAAACTGACTAAACCCATAGGGGAAAAAAAATCACTGGAAAAGCTCAGTATCAGCAGTCAAAATAGGCCAGTTGCTGACTATGAAACAGGCAATCAATATCAAGTTCAAACTGAAGCTGAAGAAAACAAAAACAAGTCCACAATAACCATAATATGATATTGGATCTATCGCATAGGAATGTAAAAATCATCTCACGAATAGATTTGACATACTGAACTCTAAATAATAAAAGACCAAATGAATTGTGGGATGACATCAAAAGATATCTATCATCCATGAAGAGAGCAAAGGGTCGTTACAAAGACAGAGGAGGAAGAAAAGACCAAAATGGATGTCAGAAGAGACTCTGAAGAGTACATCACAGGCACATGTCATTTATACACTCTCAAGTATACTCATTCACCAAAGGAAATGCTGTTAAGTTGGTCTGACACTGAGTGTACACCCCTTGGCAAGTATAAGAGAAATATCTACTTCTTCAAGCTGGATGGTTTCTGCTCAACTCTCTCTCACTACCCCTAAGTGCTACCTTAGGTATTAATATGTCGCCATATAATCAGGCCCCCAATCCCTAACAAGCCAATTATCTCTTCAAGTAATAATTTTTTAAAAAATAATCTATTCCAGTGCTGAAGAAAACCACCACTGCTGTTGTTGTTCTTGTTGTTGTTATGTGCTGTCGAATCTTTGCAACCCGCAGCAACCTTGTAGCACTGTCCTGCACCAGTATCACTGATTCTGACACAACAATCCCCATTGCCCCAGTTACGGTATCAATCCATCTCATCCGAGGTCTTCCTCTCCTGTGCTGTCCCTCCATCCTTCCAGGCATGATGTTCTTCTCCATGGACTGGTCCCCATCCTGGCCACGTGCCCAAATTATGTGAGACAGAGCTTCAAAATCCTAGCCTCCAAGGAGAAACTTGGTTTCACCCTTTCCAAAACAAATCTAATCATTTTCTTGGTGGCCAATGTTTAAGACTCCTCTCCAACACCACAATTCAAAGGCATCGATTCTTCTTCTGTCATCCCTATGTTTTTGTCCAGCTCTCTGATGCATAGCAAGTAATAGTGAAGACAATGATTAGGCACTCCTTAGTCTTTAGACTAACACTGTTGCTTTTCAGTACTCTGCAGAGGTATATAACAGCAGATTTTGCCAATGCAATTCATCTTTTAATTTCCTGACTGCTGATGCCAAGAGTGTTGATCTGGCATAGTGCTGCCCGGTGGTAAGAATCTTTTCTTGATGTTGAGCTTTAAGATATATTGAAGACTTCAGCCTTGTCCTTCTGCAGCAAGTGCTTCAGGTCCTCCTCAGTTTCAGCAAGCAAGGTTGTGTCATCTGCATAATGTAGGTTGTTAATGAGTCTATCTCCAATCCTGATAAAGATTCCTCCTCATAATGCCCTACTTTCCAAATGATCTGTTCTGCATATAGAATGAAATGATATGGAGACAGGATTCATCCCTGACACACTCCCTTCCTAATTTTGAACCATAGTGTTTCCTTGCTCTGTTCTGAGGACTGCTTCCCGGTCCAAGTATAGGTTTCAAATAAGTACAATCAAGTGTTCTGGTATTCCTATTTTCCTCAAGGTTAGCCATAATTTGTTGTGATCCACACAATCAAATGTTTTTGTGTAATCAAAGAAACACAGACATTTCTCTGGCACTCTTTGCTTCCTGCCAAAATCCATCTGACATTGGTAGTAGTGTCTCTAGTGCCACAATCTCTTCTAAATGCAGCCTGTAATTCTGGTCAATGTACTAGTCATTTCTGGATAATTTTCAGCAGGATTTTGCTAGTTTGTGTGAAATTCTTGATATTGTTTGATAATTTCCACACACTGTCAGGTCACCTTTTTTTTGGAATGGGAATAAATATGGATCGCTTCCAGTCAGCTGGCCAGGCCTCCAGATTTCTTAACACAACCTGGTGAGCACATCCAGGACACCATCTGTTTGCTGGAATATGTCAATTGGTATTCCATCAATTCCTGAGGTTTTATTTTTTTGTCAAGTCCTTCAGAGAAGCCTGAACTTCCTCCATTATCATTGCCTCTTAATCATATGCTGTTTGGGAATCTGTCTGTAGTGATTATTATTCTAATTCCTGAGAAAACACTTATCACTTCTCTTTATAAATGTACTGTTCCATAACTATTGCACAATTGTTGTCTGCAGAATTCTATCTTAAATTCTGACAGTAAGGAAAAATTCTAAATGTCTTCATAACATCAAAATGTCTGCCTACTAAGTAAATCATCATTACAATGTAATCAAATTCTGAAGAAAAAGTGCACCTGTTCTTCTGAGACCTCTGTAAGTCAAATAAAAATCAAAGGCATTATTTATCTGAGCCCATTAGGACCAAAAAGTCTTCTTCACTCTCTGCACATAAGACTGTTGAGGAGTATTCCTCCAATTCTGATGCCACATTCTTCATCACACAGTCCAGCTTCTAAGATTAGTTCAGCATAAGGTTGAGGTGCAAGGCCACCAGCTGCTCTGTGGAAAAAGGATGGACAATCTCTGAAAACCCACCAGAAGGTCAGCTATGGGTCAGATCTGACTCTACAGTACCCAACAACAAGTATTGAACAGGTATAGAGTAACAGCATAAGGCTGATACACCCTTCCTGATTTTAAACAATGCAGTACCCCCTTATTCTATTCTTGGTCTATATACAGACTTCGCATAAACACAATTAAGTGTTCTGGAGTTTCCACTCTTTTCAATGTTATCTATAATTTGTCATGATTTACACAGTCAAATTCCTTTGCAGTCATAAAACACAAGCTGTTGTTAAGTGGCAACTCATAGTGACCCTATGAACGAAAGACCTGAACACTTGTACAACTTTCATCCTTTCCCCAGGTTCATAGGGCTTCTGGAGGCAAGCTACTTTGGAAGTGGATGCCACTCCTGCTTTCAAGCTTGTTATAATCAAGGAACTCCACCAAACACTGCCCACCATGGGTAACCATTATTGCATTTGACACATCAGTGTCACAGTGTTCAGCTTCACAGCAACCATGAGTAGGCACAGCAAGTGGACAGACCAGGGCTATAAGACCTAGAAGAATGTTTAACCAAAAACAATTCAAATCACAAGTACCCATCTTCTATTCTCTGCTTTCCACCAAGATCCAATCAACAAACTACTTTATGCACAAGAAACATGCTTGCTTGCAGAAAAGGAAGATGACTTGAAGCACTTTATAGTAAAGATCAAAGACTTTCAATATGGATTACACCTCAACGTCAAGAAAACAAAATTCTCACAACTGGATCAATAGCCAACACATGACAAATGGGAGACTGGAGTTGTCAAGGACTTTATTTTACTTGGATCTACAAACAACACCAATGAAAGTAGCAGACAAGAAATAAAAAGATGTATTATACTGGGAAAACTGATGTAAAGTGCTAAAGAGCAAGGATGTTAGTTTTACACCTGACTCAAGCCACAGTATTTTTCAATTGCTTTTTTTTTTAATTATTAAATTTTATTAATTTTAATGAACATTTACAGAGATTTGGGGTTTTCATTCATTCATTGTTGCACTATTTTCTCTACCCTCCTCCCCAGTTCTTCTTCCCCCCCCCTTGAATTGCTTCTTTTGTATGTGAAAGTTATACTATAAATACAGAAACTGTAGACTAACTGATGTGTTTCAATTGTGGTATTGGTGAAGAATATTGAGCATACTATCAAAAGGACAATTCTGTCTTGAAAGAAGTACAGTCACAATAGCCCTTAGAGGCAAAGATAGTAAAACTTTATCTCATCTACTTTGGGCATGCTGCTGGGAGGCATCAGTTCTTAGATAAAGAAATCATGTTTGGAAAAGGAGATGTCAGCAAAGGAGAGTAAGACCCTTAAAACGACAGAGACTAATATAGTGACATAACAATGGGCTTGAGCATATTAGGCAAGATTTCAGTCTGTTGTTCATAGAATCATTATGAGTTGCAGTCGAGTAGAGGACACCAAACAACAGGTCCAACTAAGCTGTGTATTGTCTTCTTCTGGAAGATAGAGGTGTGCAGCATAAACCTTTTCCAATGTTTTGGCATCCTTGGGATGTGCAAATGTGTTTAGGATGAAACAATCCTGGAAACACCAAACTAAAGCCAAACTCGTTGCCATCAAGTTGACTCCAATTCTTAGAGACTTCCTGTGTTAAGAGAATAGAACTGCTCCACTGGGTTCTGTCAGCTGCAAACGTAACAGAAGCGGATAGCCAGGATTTCTTTCCATACTACCACTCAGTGGATTCAAACCACAGACCTTTAGGTTAGCAGTCAAGAGCAAACTGTGTCACCAAAGTTCCTCCTAGAAACACCTTCATTCAAAAATCTATAAAACAAAACTATGCAAATTACAAAACATAAGTAAATTAAATAGCACAGCGGTAGACCCATCATAAGGATTAATGCTCAACAAATGTTAACTAGTACTACTAGCAGTAATGTTTTGCTTGCAAATACTTCCCAGTGCTCACTAGAATAAAGAGCTCTCATAGTGTAATGTATAAAATGTGCTATTAACCAAAAGGGTAGGCCTGGTTCAAATCTAGCCACTGAACTATACTGTGTGTCTCTTTCTGGCAGATGGTTGTCTTTTTTTCTGTTTCTTTTTCTAGCTATTACAGGGGAGAAAGATGGGCCATCTCCTTCCATAAAGATTTCCAGGCCCAGAAACCCGATGGACCGTGACTACAGTAAAAACTATAAGCGGTGAGTTAGATTTTTAAAGTTATCTTCCATTTTCTTAAGTTTCCTCTTCTTTTCTTTAAATTTTACCCTCCCCCCCCCCCCCACACCCCACCTCCACCCCCGTTTAAGTTTCCTCTTCTTTTAGGGAGATTTTTCTCCCTCTTTCAGAAACAATATGCTAGAACTCAAACTAAGAGGCAAGAAAAACTTCTTGTAACTCTGACACACGGCAACACTACATAACAGAACCATATAGGGTTTCCAAGCCTGTGTTATCTACTGGAGCCGAGTGTCACATTTTTCTCCCAGAGATCATTTGGAACCACTGAACTAAAAGCTTTTAACACTCTGCTACGAAGGCTCCATCAATACCTTACTGAAAAAAACAGACGGGGAAAAAAGCCCTCCTCGCCATGTTTTGTTGTTTTCTTAAGATGTAATCCATACCGAAGGCTGCAGTGCTTGATCTTTACCGTAAACTTGAAAAGCAACTGTCATCAACTAAAGAGTTCCTACAGAGACGGGAGGCCTTTGTGAGAATACTCTTTATCCAACTCAAACTACTCACTTGTAAGGATTCTCAGCTTCTGAAGCATGGTAAAAAGTCTCCTGTCAAATTTCTCCATGCTCAGTCTTCTGCTTCAGAAATTAAAGTGACCCCAAAACCCAACCCAACCCATTGTCTTTGGGTCCTTTCTGACTCAGAACTACTGCAAAGGTTGGCGCAGAACTGTCTCGAAGGGTTTGCACAGCTGTCAATTGGTTGAGAAGCAGAATGTCACATCTTTCTCCCGCAGAGCGACTGGTGGACTCGAAAGACTGACCTTTTGGTTGACACACAGCGCTTTAACTGACAGACCAGCGCCTTTATCCATCGCGCCATCTAGGAACCTAAATAGATCCCACCTCTCTTTAAAGAGCTAGCCTGAGCAACCGATGCTATGGCACTTTAGCCGGGGCTGTGAGCGAACCATCCACCCTACAAGTTTGAAGCTGCCAACCATGAATCTCTTTTAGGTTTATCCCTTTAGGGCGTCCAGTTTCCATGCCCAAACCCACCAAGGTGCTCAACCAAGACAACCAAGGCCTGCAAAGAGCTCTTTAATTCAGAAATCCCTTCCCACGCTACCTCCCTCAATCAACGCTTTCTCTTTTCTTTTCTGTCCAGCCCCCTTCTTCCCCTCCCAGCCTACTCAGGGTCGCCCCATCCTCCTCATTCCCTGCCCTCAGGGGGCGGGACGCTCACCTGCTCTATGGCGAGCTGCACTTCGGGCGTGAGCTGCAGCACCGCTTCCAGCTCCTCCACGAACTCCAGTTCTTCTTCCTCCATCATCCCGCCACCCGGGCCCACTGGATCCACACAACAGCCCAATTCGGACCCCTCCAGGCTTCAAGCGGGGACCCAGATCACCAGCCTTCCAGCTGCAGAAGTGTCGCAAGGTTCCGCTCTGTCAGCCAGCCCGGCACTTCCGGGAAGCCAGGGACTTCCGGGTTCCGGAGCACTCTGGGATAGCGGAGGACTTATCGCTTGTCGCCTGGCCGATTACCTGCATCCTCTGGACAGTTTCCTCTGGAGGCCTTTCCTCTGCAACCCTGGCCTACCCTCACTTGGTCCTTAAGTTGATGGAGATTCTCCTCCCTTCACCTAAGGCGTTCTCCCTCCGAGGGCGATGCTGGGGGACGATCTAACTATCCCAGCCTCACCGCAGCCAACCAGTCCAATGCAGGAGTAGCAAGCAGAGCAAATCCACCATCCTTCAGCTCCAATGCTTCCACTTGGTCAGTGCCAGTGGGTGACCCTTCTCCCACCCCGCCTTCAGAGGTGGTATTGCCACGGTCCATTTGTAGGACAGAGCAGGGTTCACTTAACAGATGAATTCTCCGTATTATCAGGGCACTAGGTGGAGTTTTGAGAGGATGAATATAGCTTCCTTACTGAGGATAGGGGAGAATCTGGCAGTTCCTTTCACTGAGAAAATAACTCATTTCTGTGAGCTTGAAAAGCAGGGGTCTAAGTCCGATTCCACGACAAGATATCTGTGTAAATTTTAACAGCTCACTCTAATTGCTCGGCTTGCCCTTGCATGGTTGAAGTGGAAATTGAATATAAAAAGCAGTATGCAAATTTAAGCTAGTAATACAAGTAATATTAGGGTGTCTAGCGTGTATGCGCCAAGAGATTGGCTCACGATGTGGAACCACTTTTCAACAGACACATTAAACAATGAGGTAATTGGAACCCAAGGAAGAGCTGTTTGACCAGTTGCACATTGTGAAACTGAAATTCGTTAACAGAAGAGCCCCTGTCTCCACTGAGCTTTTTTGTTTGTTTGTTTTTAAGTGTGTGTATGTTTTTTTTCTTTTTCACCAAAGTTACTCACAGTAAAGGAAAAACGGAAGTAATATGATTTCTAATGAAGGAATTCTCTGGAAACTGTGAACTTTGATAAATGGCGATGGTTGTTGAAGGGCTTCAAACTTTTGTTCATGGGGTCACTATGAGTCATGCTTGACTCGACGGCAGTCAACAACAACATACAGTAGAAAATCATGATTTTTCCTTTCACAATTATTTCATGTACATGAGAAAGTTGGACAGTGAATAAGGAAGACCAAAAAAGAAATGGCGCCCTTGAATAATTGTGCCGTTGGCAAAGAGTGTTGAATATACATACCCTGGACTGCCCAGACAACAAAGAAATCTGTCTTGGAAGAAATGCTGCCAAGGTGCTCCTTAGAGACAAGGACAGTGAAACTTCATTTCACATGCTTTGCACACGTTGTTGGGAGGGCCCAGTCACTGGAGAAAGACATCAGACTTGAAGAATTAGAGCGTCAGAGAAGGAAAGGAAAGAGGAAGACTCTCCACGAATCAGACTGACACAGAAACTGCAACGATGAGTTTGAGTCATGGTAGAGATTGTGAGGATGTTGCAGGTCAAGAAAAGGTTTCAATCAGGTCAGTGTGAGTTACTACAGGGCACCTAACAACAATACAAATACACAGTAAAATAGTACTGACTTGTAAAATCACGGTTTGAAGACTCTTTAATGACCTGGGAAAATGTGCAATCTATATTTTAGAATGTAAAGTCTGGTTCTAGTATTGCACACATACTTTTTAAATAAAATAATTTCTACTGACATTCAGGCATGCTCTGCTTTCTCCTACCTTTATAAGTTCTTCTGTGGATTACTACCTTATTTCTCTTACCTTATTTATGATGAGAGTTCTTTAAATTTCTGGGCCTCCTAATTCCTCATCTCTCATTTATTCTTCAAGCGACCATAGTCTGGCCTCTGCCTTACCATGCTATCATTTTTGTAGGTATGGTATGTATTTTATTCCTATATAAATGACAGCAACATCAGACTCATTCTTATCTGCAGATAAGGGAATATGTATTCTTTACAGGTAACACCAAAATACCAACAATAAGCTTATAATACTTTAATAGTAATAAAATTAAAATGGGCTCCTTTTTTAAAAAGGAGCATACAATTGTGTCCACCTGTCTCGGATTTTTTGTTCTGTTTTGTTTTCTTCTTATTAAGTTATAATTTATACTCTTTTCACCAACAACTTCATGGCTTTTTATAAATGCATGTAGTCATGTAAGCATCACCCCAATCAAATGATAAAACAATTCCATCAGCTGGGCAATGAATAATTATGACAGAAGACAAATTGCTGCCTTTGAACTGTGGTGTTGGTCAAGAGTACTGAATATCTCATGGACTGCCAAAAGAATAAGCTATGTCTTAGAGAAAGTGCTGCCAGGGTGCTCCCTGGAGGCAATGATGACAAAGCTTCATCTCTCATACTTTGGACATTTGGTTAGGCTAGGCTATTCCTTGGAAAGGGTCACCATGCTTGGAAAGATGGAGGGTCAGCGAAGAGGAAGAAGACCCCCAATGAGGTGGATTGGCACATTGACTTCAGCAGTGGGGCCTAGTGTGTCAGATGATAAGGATGGCATAGGATAGGAAGAGGTTCAGGTTGTTTATAAGGGTTGCTATGAGTCGTACTTCACTGAACAGTACACAACAATTATAATCAGTTCATCCTCCCACCTCTAGCTCCTGGCAATCAGTAACCTGATTTCTGTCCACATAATTTAGACTTTTTAAGAATAACATATATACACAACCAGGAGAAGATAACATTGAAGGGGACCTTCTAAAGATTAAGTCCCTGTGTGCATCAAAGGCTTTTTCCAATAACATGAAAAGAAAACCAGTCAACTGGGGAAAAATAGAAACATTTGGCACTGACATCTCAGACAAGGGTCTCCTAATGTACAGAATCCTACAGGGCTTCCACAAGGAGACTGATAACTCAATTATAAAATGGGCAAAACCCATAGAATTTTCACAGAGGAAGACATTCAGATGGCCAGCAGACACAAAGAAATGCTCAAAGTCACTGGCAATACAAAAGGTGCAGATCAAAACCACCCCAGCAGCAATGGCAAAGTTTAACAGGACAGCAAGCAATAAATTTTGTGGAGTGTTAGGGCTGTGGAGCTGTGCTCCCTTCCTTTCCCCAGAGCAGCCACAGTAATGGCCAAAGCAGCAGCTGAAACTCTTGTTTATCTCTTTTAGAGCTGCAAAAATTATTTCACCTCCATTTCCCAGAAATAACTATCCATGACTCCTGATTTCCTCCTTTATCTTGTACCAAGCAGCTGCAAACACCTGACTCCCAATTTCCTTGTAAGACAATGTAAAACTCTAAGTAGCAGCTGGTCTCTACTTTGGAGCCAGCCCAGAACTTTCTCCTCAATAAACTGTCTTTCTTGGTCTGAACTGGATTCTGTCCTACCTTGGCGACCTTACAGAGACGATGTAGAGAAATTGGAACTCTCATATACTGTTGATGGGGTTTTAAAACGCTACAACCACTCTGGAAGATAGTTTGGTGTTTCCTCAAAGAGCTACACATAGAAATTCCATATGACCCAGCAATTCCACTGCTAGGGATATACCTCAAGGAAAATAGAACTGAGACACAAATTGAGATTTGTACACTGATGTTCCTAGCAGCATTATTTGCAATAGCAAGAACATGGAAACAGCCAAAATGTCCATCAACAAAAAAATGGATTGAGAAAGTGTGCAGATTCAGGAGAAACGATTTTGTAAAAATATAACATGAGGAGGCCAGAGAGCATTATGCTGAGTGAACTAACTCAGTCTCATTGGGACAAATACAGCATAAGACCATGGTTCTAAAAATAGAAGGATAACTGGTAATATGTGTATGAATTTCCAAAGAAGGAAGAGAAGGAAACAGGAGGACAGGGACTGGGGGAGGTCATGGGATAATAGACTGTGGTGGACAGAGGGAAGAAAGTAGGAAAGATCTGGTGGGATCTGAAAAGGACAAGGCAACAGTGGGCATAAATCAATGGGATTGATTTTATTGATTAATGCAATTGATGGGAATGATTGTATGAAACACAATGTGAATGAAGGAATGTGTGAAATACAATGTATATGAAAGAAAAAACTTGAATTTTTTTAAAAAGGACAAAAAGACTATGATAAGTTAGGAAAAGGGGGGGTGACCCCACAGGGCACATGAATAAAACACATCACTAGGGAGCTTGGGTGGCCTAGTGGCAAGAAGCTGCACTGCAATCCCAGAGGTATGTGGTTCGAATCCACCAAAAGCTCTGCTGGAGAAGGAGGGGCAATCTCCAACTATATCAGTCAGATCCAATTTGACAGTACACACAAAAAATAATAAAATAAATTTTAAAAAGTTAATAACACAACATATAGGAATATTTATATGTACAAAGTATATGTAAAAACATGAT